CCTTGGATTGTAAGATTTTTCTTAGAATTTTCCCTTGGTAAGATAAAAGTTATGCACAAAGCATCTTAGGCCTTAAGAGAGCTCCTAAGGTGAAAAACTGTTAAGAAGAGGGAATTTTAAGAAGCCTAAGAGTGTCTTAAACAGAGAAGATGGCAGAAAGACAGAGAGGAAGGAGAGATATTCTCCGTATATTGAACGACAGTGATTTAATAAGACGCTACCGGCTTGATCGTGCAGGGATGTTTGTGGTTGACCTCATCAGAGATGAGCTTACTTTTCCCACCCAGCGCAATAACGCCCGCTTTGGATTGCAGCACGTACCAGCGCTTCTCACACTCATCGCTTGTGCGTAAAAGGAGGGGGAACGATGCATTGATTTGTCGGGCAATGCGCTCCCAAGTCTGCCTCTTCCCTTGTGCCGTGATCCTGGGACTGAATTTCCCTCTTAAACCTCCGTTGTTCTCCTCCACGAGCTGTGCCAACAGCAGGCACTGCTCTTCTGTCCAGTTTCTCGTTCTTTTTTTCTCCATTTCGTTCATTGTTTTGGTCATTCCGACAAATCAAACCGCTTTTTACAAGGAGGCCAGCAATCACAGTAATTGCTGACAGCTGAGTCTGCGTCCACCATTAATATCAAATAGATTAAGCAGTAAAATTACCAGCATGGTGAGTAAACATAACAACAAGCAAATCAATATAATAATCGGCATGTTAATGAGGTACGTTCAAACATTTTAAAGCTGTGTAACAATGAATTTAATTTTGCTGAGTTTCATCATCATGACATAAAATTATTTTCACGATTACACATTTCTTAATACAGTCTAAGTTCTATGATCGGTTGATTTCACTGTCCATTCATTACTAGGAGCGCATTTGTTTTTGTTTTGTTTTTTTCTTTTTTCCTTTTTGTAACAACCAATCACAGCTTTTAGAAGACTGTGTCATACCTAGAAATGGGGTCAACCACACCTCCTCACTAAGATAAAAGTTTCTGTCCCCTCCTTGCTCAGAGTTGCTCTCAGAAACTTCCTGAATCACTCTTAAGCTAAGATTCCTTGCTAGGAATTTTTAGGCTAAGTTAGGAGCTCTCTGAGAGGACTCTGAGAATCTTTGTGAATACGGGCCCTGATGTGTGATTTAAGCATTCCCTTAATTTTTGGAGCAGTGTAGGTTTGTTCAGTGTAAGTATGTATTTCATTAAAATACACTTACATTTGACATTTGAAGAGCCAAGGTTTTGTGGTCTGTAGCTGACATCAAGTTGTTCATTTGCTCATAACCATAGATGACATACCAGATGACTCTCTTTGTGTAAGCTTATTGGACACTAGATATGTAACGGTATGAAAATTTCATATCACAGTGATTGTGACCAAAATTATCACAGTTATCATTATTATCGCGGTATTGTTGAAATGTGTTCAAAATGTTCAAAAAGTACTTATACACACGCTGAAATCATTTAACCAAGTTCTATTTAGAAAAACAATTAAAATAAAGAATACAATGTACTTTCTAACAGAAAGTCTAGCATGTTTGATTTTCTCTTTGTCATTCACGATTAGGCCTACTCCCATCAAAGCCGTCACTTTGACCAATAGAAACACAGAGTTAGCTGCTGCCATAGACAACTGTATGACAACAACACCCCAGCCTTTTTAATATTTCCTCTAGGGATGTTGCCACACAGAGTAAAAGGGGGAAATGATGGTGTGAAACAGCAGAGGCACTTTGTCAACCTGCTGAGTACTGCCATTAGCATCAAGCTAGCAAACAATGTTATGTCTTCATAATGGAGACAGACATAAAGTAAGAAAATTAAAAAATAGTGGCAGGGCTTTTACTGACCACAACTGCAGAGGCTCCCAGCTTCATGTGAAACAGACTACAATATAAAAGGGCCGTTATTTATTAATCCCTCTGTGTTTTTATATTTTACTTTTATCTGCTCCCTTTGGCTTCATAAAGTTAATGCATCGCGCCGTCATTTCAAACTCAACGCTTCCTGAATTTGTTTCAAATTAAAAGCCCCTTATAACCTCAGCTGAAAGAATCCCTCCATTTTCTAAATAGGCTTTTATTGCGAAACATTTGCAGAAACTTGTGGAGGAATATGTTTGCGATTCAAATGTAGCTCCTGCCGTCTGCTGGCACTTTTTACGTTACTACAACAACATTTCGGCTGGCACATGAACAGACACAGTGACTGATAGTAAAAGTAATAAAAATAGGACAAGAATAACCCGATGACATCACACACGTCGTGAAAGACGACCGGGGATAATTGGTGTGTACCATCGTGTAGTGTGTCATGTCTGTCGGCCAAGTCACGACACGATTTTATGACTCCACAATTGTGAAATGTGACAAAGTGACTTTCAGAACGGGCAGAAAAGTCGTGTGTGTACCAGGCACAGGTACACTCGCTGTATAGTTGTGGGTGGTGGTCACGGAGATTGCTCATCAAATTTCAAGTGTTACCCCCACTTCACAGAGACTTTTTTTCTGCATTTTCTACAGACAGTGTTACTATCTTCAATTAGTTTCCCCTCAGCATCCTTATAAAACCCAAAATACATCCAGACTTCAGACTTTGTCCTTTTTAGAGGGGTAAAAAATCTCCAGTGCACTGTCCATGCGGGTGCCTTCCGTCATGTTTTCAGAGGCCAAACATTGCAAACTGCACATGCGTGCCTGTGTCTGAGGGACTACTGCTGCTTTTCCAGGCAATGAGCAGTATCACCGTGAGTTTTTCAAAGTGCGGTAATCAAACACAGTTTTAATCAGCTCCAAAAATCCAGTAATGATCAGGCTCTAGTTTTTGTCTGTGTAATAGATGAAAGACCAGGAGTGTAGACATGAATGATAATACTTCATTATTGTAGACCAATGCTCTTGTTTCAAATTTTCAAGAAAAAAGTAGACAAAAACAAAACAAAACATTAAAATGCATGTGGATCACAGCAACAAACACATTCTGGTCATCTTCAAAAAGCTGCTGAGTCATCTCTCAAAGCAATTGAACGCAACTGGACTTGGTTTTGTCTTAGAAGATGTTTCACCTCTTATCCAAGAGGCTTCATCAGTTCATGCTTATCAGACTAGGCTGGAACTAGTCTGACAAACTGGTGTGGAAACAACCCAGGTATTTAACCTCTGGGGAGGTCTTCACAAGGCCAATGATGTCACTGGTTCATTAGTGCTCCAGTGGTATGTCAGTGATGGTCGTTGAAACTCCTGCTGCAACGGTTGATATTGGAGGCGTTAGAGTCACATGAGGCCATTTGTGAACGACCATTGTTTTTAGAGGTTAAGTTGTTAAACCTCCTGGGCAAGGATGAAAGGACAGCATTATAGGTAGGGGATAGGTGGTGTCGCAGACCTCCTCCTCTATTGAGAGATGGTTTTTCCAATTTCACATAGATGGCTTCTTTTACACCTCTTTTGAACCATCTGTCTTCCCTGTCCAAAATGTGCACATTGCTGTCTTTGAAGGAGTGTACTTTCTCCTTGAGGTGTAAATAGACAGCTGAGTCTTGCCCTGACAAGTTAGCCCTTCTGTGTTGGGCCATGCGTTTGTTTAGTGGTTGTTTTGTTTCACCAATGTACAATTCTGGGCATTCCTCACTGCATTGGACATTGGTCTTTTGGGTGCACCAGTCTTTGTCTGAGTGTGTTACTGGGTTTGAAATACACAGGGATGCAGTGTTTGCTGAAGATCCTCCTGAGTTTTTCAGATACCCCAGACACATAGGGGATGACAATGTTATTGCGCTTGCTCTTTTCTTCATCACCCACCTTGTTCTTTCTGGAACGGGCTGATGTTTTCACAAAGGTACAACTGGGATAACCAAAAGTTTTTAGAGCCTCCCTCAGATGTTCATGCTCCTTCCCTTGGGCCTGAGTGCTGGTAGGTACGTTATCAGCTCTGTGTTGTAGGGTCCTGATAACACCTAGTTTGTGTTCCAGTGGATGGTAAGAATCAAACAGTAAGTATTGGTCTGTGTGAGTGGGTTTCCTGTATACCCCAATGTGGAGGCCTCTGTCCTCTGTAATGTGCACATCACAATCCAAGAAGGGCAAACTGTTCTCCTTAACATCTTCTCTTGTGAACTGATGTTTCTGTCCACTGAATTGATGTGTTCAGTGAAAGCTTGTACCTCTTGAGTTTTGATTTTAACCCATGTGTCATCCACATATCTGAACCAGTGGCCTTGGTGCTGTTCCCTCAAAGGAGTTCAAGGCTCTGTATTCTACATCCTCCATGTATAGGTTAGCCATAATGGGAGATACCAGTGAGCCCATGGCACAGCCATGTTTCTGCCATTGTATTTGAAATAGGTAGTGCTCAGGCAGAGATCCAGTAGTTGGCATATCTGGTCTGGACTGAGCTTGGTTCTGTCGTGGAGGGTGTTGTCATGTATCAACCGTTGCCTGACTGTTTCCACAGCCTCCATGGTTGGAATGCAAGTGAACAGGGAGGTCACATCATAGGATACCATGGTATCATCTGGATCCATTTTTAAACCTCTTACTTTGTTCACAAAGTCCATGGAGTTCTGGATATGGTGGGGCGTATTGCCCACCAAGGGAGCCAGGATGTTGGCTAAATGTTTGGCAATGTTATACGTGACCGAGTTAATGCTGCTGACAATGGGTCTGAGGGGGGCCCCTTCTTTGTGAATCTTGGGGAGCCCATATATGCCCGCTGAGTCATGCACACATTCATGATCACAATGTAGTATTTTGTTCCTGCAATGGGGACTAAAACGTTAATTCAAAACCCAAAAGTGAATTCAGCCAAGTTGCTGGGTTCTTCCTCCCTACCTACATTAGTGAAGCTGCAGCAGACTTTTAAGCTTAATGATGATTGGAAGCTTCATAATACAATGCTCTTTGGGACTTGAAGTGTATTTTTCTCCATAAGTTATGTACATTAGAATATTTTTTTTACATTGTTTGCACTGATATTGATTTACTATGTGTATTATTTGCAGCCATCAAAGTGAACTGCAACGGTTTTTGTGGTATCACCAACAAGGTCAATGACACGGCATGGACTGTGGAGGAACAGTACTTCAACAGTACTGTTGCTGTTGCAGATAAAGGTACGCTTATGAACACTTGTAATGCTAACTACAAAACTGATCCTATGAGTTTATACCATCCCTTCAGTTAGTATCTGATAGGTGCAGTCTGCCACATCGCAACAGTTCATGCTGAGGCAGTTCTAAGTCACAAATTACAGCACTCAGACGGCCTTAAATAATTGCTTGTGAGTTGGTCTACCGTAGGAAATGTCACAAAACACAAGGTGAAAAAACACACTTAAAGATTTAGACACATTTTCTTAATAACAAAACAACAGTTTTGTTTTCCATGATTAAAGATAAAAAAAATAGTGTGGCAAAAATAATTAAGTTGCAAAGACTGTAGTAGGAAAGGTTCCCATTTTCCACTGTGAATATTGCATACAGCCCTGTGGCATACCTGCCTGGTGGGAAACAGCAGGCCCATTGTCACTGTTTCCACTGACTGATGTTATCTGTGCTCTCTGTGTCCTCTACAGGAACCCTGAAACAGGGAGAACACACTTTTCCCTTCAAGTTTCTCATACCAGGTAGGAGCGTGGAGTGATGGGATGAACAGTTGTCGCTTCACATTCTTTTCTATGTTTGTGTGTGCTTTGACAGACATGTCCTGGCATATTGATATTTACCCTAATTTCCCTGTGGTTCAGCAGCAGTGAGGATGGATCTTTTTTTCCCAGTATTTACTGGGGCTTGTAAACATTGACACACATGAAACATTGCACTGATTTCCAGTATTTGTTCAAACCAGCCCAACTTATTATACAAAGGCAGCACTTTGCCAATTTTACATTCAACATTTTACATTCAAATTCAAAGTTCCCCTAATCAAGTAACCAATACAAAAGCATCACACAGCAAATCCTGCCATCAGTTAGAGATACTGATCCAATTTAATAGTAGTCACAAGCATACTTCTGTTTTATTACAACTTCGCTTATTGTCTGAAGCCCTGTTCCCACAGGACTATTACCTGGGGACCTCTAGTGATTAGTAATAATTGCAGGGGATCATCTGTTATCTTAATCTCATATAAACCTGCCAGGCCGTAATTTGTCAAGTAAAATTCCCTTGCAGATTACCTCCCATATTTGACAGAGGTCATGTTCTAATACTAGCCCCGCGTGAATCCTCATCTCTGTGATTTGGGGTCATGTTAAGACTCACAAGTCAGTCTTTAGATGCTTTGCTTACCTAAAGACTGATGTCTTTCTCCCTGATTTTGTGTTTAGATGGGCAGATACAATTTCAGAGTTTAAAAAAAACTCCCTACGTTGCAGAACCAATAGTAAATCCGCAGGGCGGTCCTTCGGTGGCTCGCTGAACTCTTGTGCTTGTAAACATAGTCCCACTAGAAACACGTGTAGCGGTACAAAATGGCTCAGCCGCGCTCGCAGAAAATGCTGTCAAAGTTAGTGGATGTTTGTCGCGTTTGCAGCGACACATTCTCACCAACTAAAAGAAACAAACATAATCTTTTACAAGGCCATGACTCATCCGTCCGGCCGGACTATAGAGGGAATCACCTTGTTGTTTACAAATACTTGCGGGTAGAAAACCAGCAGAGCTTTTAGCTATATATCTATCTCACATTTTTCACATCACTGTATCACCGTTTAGACTAATCTGATGTTTATAAACACAATGATTGAAGAAACATTACGATTTCTGCGTGCACGTTTTGTAATTAATAACATGGTGCTGGGCTAACCATTAGCTGGTAACGTTAGCTGTTAGCAGTGTCTAACTCAGTAACGGTCCGTGAAAAAAATATTTTTTCCAGCGGATATCTTAGTTACAACATGATTGAGCTAGCAAAGCAGGTTTGTGTTGCTATGTGTGGTATTTATTCAGTTTTGGGAAATCACGATGTCTAGAAAGCATCGCTGGCTGCAGCTGTCAGGGACAGCTAACAGCAGCAGCAAAGCTAACATCAGGACGTCATCTGTTAAAAGCCTCCCGTTGTTGGATACGACATGAAACTACTCCAGTTAGTTCAATCATGTTGTAACAAAGACATCCGCTGGAAAAAATATTTTTTTCACGGATGAGCACACGTTTGATAAAACGGAGTTAAATCTCTCGGCATCCATTTTCAAGCTCTCTGTGTGTTTCTTTCCTTGCGGACGAGAAAAGGGGGAGCACACATTTCCGAGAAGGAGTGTACTTTTCAAAAATGCAAGAGGCGTTGCTTTGTTGCAAGCCGTTTTAGCCGGTGTGTTAAACACACTTTAGAAAGGAGTGTCCCCAGACTATCAGAAGGCGGAGATCTCTGATTGTCTGGTGGTGAGACTATGTTATTATTGTTCCACAGCAGCTGACGCAGCTATAGATTCATTGTGCTGTTGAAAGCTTACCGGCAACTTTTTAGATGGAATGTGATCTTGCATGTTAGTAAATGTATTTCAATCAGAAGAGACAGGTGAATAAAGTAAAGATGATTTTTTAACCCTAGGGGCCCGAACGAACGAAGTGCGTCCAAATTCACACCTGTTCTTCTCTATTGATTTTCTCATAGCGAGAAGCCACTCATATCACGTTAAACAGCGGAACCACAGCTTTCCGACAAGACCAAGCACTTGTCGGTAGTCCAATGTTTTCACAAGGAAAAAAGATATAAATTTACACTAAAAGTATGTATAATGGATGGATTACTCGCGAATGCGTGGTCGCACAGAAATGCCACACATATCACACGAAAGCGCAGGACCAGAGCTTTCCGATGATACCAATCACATCATTGTGCTGTCATTCCATCACGCTATTAATACAGATCAATTGTCTACAAAATAAAAACCTAGGGCTGGGCGATATGGCCTAAAAAAAAATTTCAGATTTTTTCACAAAAAATCTGATTCACAATTTAAAATTCCCCTCCTAGTTAAAAAAAAAAAAAAATTCGGCCTGGTAGCACATACCTGGGGTCCAAAACTTTCAGCATGTGAATAAACCCCAGCTTTTCCACGGTAGCCTATGGGCACCATATCTCTTGGAATATACATGGCGACTGCATCTGTGAATGCTTTCCACCGGACCCCTTTCTTATCATACGGCAGTGTTTCCCCTACCATCATATTGGATCACAACAGAAGTGAACTGAACTACGGGAGCCCAGCGTGGAGCGGCGGTGGGGGATTTTAAATAGAAACTCGATTTTCATTAAAACAAATCGGCCTAAACTACAAATTCGAATTAATCGATAAAATCGATTTATCGCCCAGCCCTATAAAAACCTGATGAATTTCTTTTCAGTCCATTATACAGATCTTGTTATCAGTCACTTCATATAGTGAGGAATATCGTATCTTATCACGTCTTAGGCTTGCGTGTGTTTCTCCCTGTCAATCCAAGTTTGTAGTCTGGCTTTCAAGATGCAAATATCTCCATATTGTTCAATATATGGTTGACACTCCATCAAACTTTGTATGACAGAGTATTTCTGCAATTTGCCTTTTGTTCCAATGATTGAAGCATTCATAAGAAGACCAGCGCACTTCACATTTGCGCACCCAGACAACTTCTTCTTCTTCTTCTTCTTCTTTTTGTCTTTTAACGGAGGTTGGCAACCAGCGTATTAGGTGTATTACCGCCACCCCCAGACAACTGTAGCCTAATTATGCATGCGTGACGTAACTTCAGGTCACGTTCGGGGCAGGTCAGTTCAGGTCAGGCCAAAGAGCAGCACGGAGCACGGAGAAGTAGGTCAAGATCATGTCGAAAAGGAAACGTCCAGAATTCTGTTTTACTGCAAACGAAGTGGCAAATATTATCTTGGAGGACATCATTGAAGTTGGGTGACTATTTTTCTATTATCTTAGATGTAAATATTGCTTGTTTCTTTCAAATAAAATTAATTTTTGGCTTGTGAATGAGTCAATGGAATTTCATGCAGTAATGAAAAAATACTGGCGGTCATGTCCGCCTGGCACAAACCACATGTTTTGGACAACTGTGAAGTGCCAGAATGTCCCAGCATCATGGTTCTTATATTGCCAGATTCCAGAAAGTCTCCCCTCCTCATATATGGCAGAATATGTCTACTTCCAACTTGCTATGGTGAGATACATGTAAAAATGTAAGAATTTGGTAACACAGATTTTTTTCCATTGATATAAAAATTAATATAAAATACAGGCACATAGAAGGACATGTAATGATGGCAAATCTGGATAGCCCACATTGTCCTGAAAAATACAAGATATAGCATGTGTATGTAGCCCTTATAATGACTATGATATGATCTTAAAAGTAAAGGCAGTAAAAATACCCCAAAAAGCCCAAGGGCCCAAAGGGTTAATATAGATTGCAGGTACACAGATTAATAGTCAAGTGGACTCCAGAGGGAGCTTTGGTAGTCGAGGGGCGTCTGAGCAGCAGCAAGATAAATCCCCCATGGAGTCCAGACACTCATAGTGGTGGTGGTGGCTGATGACTCTGAGACTAGTGTTGTCACGGTACCAAAATTGGGACCCATGGTACGATACCAGTGAAAGTATCACGGTTCTGAGTAGTAAAACGATACCTCAGCAAAAATTAGGCAGATGTGCCTTTTGTCATTTATAAAAAGATAAATCACTTTTCTATAATACATCAATGACATTTCAATGGAATGAATTACTTATTGACTACTTCATACTTCAAAAACAGCATCAATAAGTGATTAACATGGGGGG